GATTTATGGGGTCATAAGTGAAATTGCAGCCGTTAGCGATCCATATCATGCACAATGACCCAAAATTGTATGTAAGTTATTGTTGGAGGTTGATTCATTCAGCACAGTAAAAAAGGAGTAGGTCGAGATCTGGCGGTCGGTCGAGAAAGGTCGAGATCTGGCGGCTTCAAAGATTTGAAGCAATCGCTGTGCGTAAGGCGCTGGGGACAACCATCAATGCTTAAGAAGCCGGAACCTCAAAACTCGCCAAGTCTTCGCATAGTGGGGTTATTTGACCTGCCAACACGAATATCATACTCTTTTGTCAAATGAACTCCTTTTTACTTGCTATAAGGAGAAATCATATCGTAAAGCTGCAGTAATCTTACAAAAAAAATTTATCATGCAAATTCAGCACGTTTTTCGTGATCAGCTTGTCGGATAACTCCTTACATCAAGTTTCAACCAAAACCACAGTGATTTGTAATTTTACCCTTATACCATACTAACTTGCTTACTCGGCTCCGCTCGGCCCTGTCAAAACACTGTAACACACGATCCCATCCCTATCCTTGTACAGTCTTTCCCTATGCCCACTTCTACACTTCAGTTCTTGTTCCTTGTGTTGTTTTCGAAATCAGCATGCCCACTTACCTCCGTGCCAACTCTCAGCTTTTCAGCTCAAATTGTGGAAAAACCGATAAAATCGATTTAACCAATAGGCAATATCGAAAACTAATATTGTATTCGTAATCAGCATGCTCGATTACTCCCCTGTGCCAACTCCCAGCCCTTCAGCTCAAATTTTGAAAAAAAACGATAAAGTCGATAAAAGTAACGATAATTCTAAAAACTAATATTGTATTCGGAATCACCATGCTCACTCACCCCCTTTACCCCCCGTTTGAACTCAAAGTCTCTCACGCAATGTATCGATCCCTCTTACAGGCGGCCACTTACCATTGCTTTCCTCCTACTGCTGGTGCAAACGGCAATGATTGACCAAATGAGCGAATGGTTAGCACCTGAAGTTGACGCACTTAGGTTCAAACGCGCGCGATGTAGCAGTTTTGCGGCTGTCTGCGTCATTTATGATGCCACCAGGTAGGGTAGATTACCACCTTACCTGGTGGCATTGTCATTTTGTGTGATCCCTTGGGAATTCCCTGAGGATGCCCAGGGTAGTACCTCTCATTTTCAGAGTCATTTATCTTATTGAGAAGTTAATGAAAATGCTGTAAAATTGTAATGAGGATACACTGCAGCGCTGCAAAACATATAGTAGAAATATGTGAAATTTTAAGATATCGAAATCTTCAAAGAACCTTCTTGCGTGCTAGGGATTATTAAAAAAATCGAAAATTTCAGATTTTATATTTCTCCTGCCGACATGCTTTATCGCACCAGAGGTTCACAGGGGATCCCCAGGATATCTCCTCTCATTTTCAAAGTCATTCTTTCTGAGAAGTCAATAGTAATGCTGCAAAATTGTAATGAGGATATACTAATGGCAAAGAACCAATCTTGTATGACATTCATTATAAGGGTATAAGGGTATGAAAACCTTCATTAGCAAAAGAGAGAAGAAAGAAGAAAGATATCTAGATTAGCGAGAAAAGACGCATTTCTTCTCAGATCTCTACCCTTCTCAGCGGGATGTACGTGCATAAGGGCTTAAATTACTGCCAAAATTCTTGACCCATCGCATATATATGCTCGAAAATCGTCTAATTTTGAAATTTTGATTCCTCAGCAAAAGTAGGCATAGTAGGAATAGGGCATATTTTGGAGTGCTCGGTAGTGCTTTTAGATTCTTCTGAAATGCACTTTTCTTTGGAAACCTTGATTTTTGAAAAAAGTCATGGAATACGCACCTGCAGCAAAAACTTGAATGGTGCAAAGTTTTTGCAGATGAACCTTGACTTACATTGACAGACATCTTTTTGCAAGATGATCAGATTTGATCTGCTTTAAAAAATCAGCTTGTGGAATTTTCGGTACTTCTGTGCGCTATAAGTGCTCAAAAAGCCGGGGTTTTCAGAAACAAATAAGTATTTGTCGCGGACTTTGAAAATCTGATCTGTCCTATCGAACTATAATAAAGAGAAAGAACTTTATCACAACTTTCAATGCTTTTTTCAATTGTGATATATATTTTAGAAAGTTAGGGAAAAAATTTGTCATCATTGGTAAAGTGCTCAAAAAAATGGCTATAAATTGCAAAGCTGCATAGATCAGAGGAAAGTAGCTATCAGAAAGATGATGAAAGTTTGAATCTATCGACATTTAAGGTCCGCATGCAGCCCCAAATATCTGGATTTCACACCGTATATTCTATCCGTAGGTATTGCCAACATCCTTCACCGTGAACATATTAAACAGGAGGGAAAGCTGTACAAGCCGCATTTTTCTCCGTTTTCCAACTTTTTCCAAAGTCGTTTTCTTTTTTCGAAGTCAACGAAGAATTGCAGAGGTGTACCGACTATCTAACCCAACAATGCTAAGCATGTTGCTGATAAGAACAAATGGATTTTTGAGATATCGGATTTTTCGATTAATCCCAACTTTCGACTTGTGGTTCATCGCAAATTTTATGACTCCAAAACAGCATTTATTTTTACCAGCAACATGCTTAGCACTGTTAGGCTTGATAGTAAGTAGACCTTTGGAATGTCTTCGTCGGCTTCGAAGAAAAAAATGACTCTGAGGAAAAGACGGTCGGCCGCTGAGGATCATCAGGGTATCGTACAAAAAGATATGCGGCACGTACAGCTTCGTGCTCCTGTTCAATATGTACATAGTGAAGGATGTTGGGAATACCTACGGATAGATAGACACGTGAAATCTAGGTATCCGAAACTTCGAGACATGAAACTTTCATTTAGGCCCGTATGCACGTACGTTCCCGCTGAGGAGGGGAGTTGAGTTGGATCCCCAGGGAAACAATCCCCTCCGCCGGACCCCGCCATGACAGAGGGGAGGGGAACAATCCCTCCCCTGCACCTAAGCGGGGATGATGCGAATGGTTACAGAGGTATCGATCGAGCGAACCCCCGTGCATACGGGGTTCGAATGGGGGAGAGGATCCTTCCCTTCCCCCCCCCCCCACTCGAACCCCGTATGCACGAATTCAACTCAACAACGCGGGGGAGGGGATCGACATCCTCTACAACGGAGTAGGAATTCGATGGTGTGGGTCAAGCCGGAGAAGCGAGTATGCTAATTTTAATCAGTTATTACAAAGCATTTTGTTCAAATTGATGAAAGATTTTCTACGGGAGCCGGGTTCCTCTCTCAGCGACCTGTAGCTTGCAGTCTTAACTCTCTCTTCCATATTCGCTTCTTGTAAAGAAATCCGGACATATATCGCAGTTTCGAATATTTGTAGAAGTTTGTGACCATTCACGAGAGTTGCGCGATTTATTTGACATGATAGTTTTTATCCATTAAGGCTGGTACAACATATTGTAGCTATCACATTATATGATAAATTGTCTTTAACTTGTTATCCTAACGTAAAACTGCTTGGATAAAATGAAAATTAGCAGACCGCGTGTTTTTGAGTAGAGATCCTCGGGGGAGTGATCCCCTGCCCATCGTGTCCCTCGTGCATAGCAGGGATGGCCGCTGGGGATTACTCCCCTGGGGTAAAGGACGATATGCAGCTGATAGCTACAGCATTTATGGAGAGCTGGCACCAGCTTCAGTTATGTGTAGAAATGCTAGTTTGAATGTTCGCAGCACCCCCTCCCCTTTTTTTCGGCAGCATAACGTCTTCTACTCAATCACTGCAGATACACCTTGACTTCTATTATTGAACACCTTTACGCAATAGCATCGTTTAAGCGATGCTATCTGACGTGGGCCATTAGCGACGGCGCGGTTTGAAGCGCGCGAACTCCTGTGTTCGCCTGTTGAGGCACATAACATGTCAAAGGCAGCGTCCACTCAAAATTTTGCCTCCCATGTTTTTGCCATTTCGGGGCCTCTTCGCGGCCCTGATTACAGGTATGGAGTTCAAGTAATCTAAAAACCCCAAAAAACCCGATTCCTGAAGACCCTTTCTTGAGGGCGCGGACGGCTTTCAGTACATGGTTGGGCAGAGTCTGATAGGACTGGGCGGGGCCTGATAGGACTTTGGCTGTTCCAGGCCCCTTATCTTCATAGAGACATCATTAGAAGACCGGACTAATGCAGATACCCCTTTCGTGGGGTCTACATTCAGGATCGAGCCTAATCGGAGGGATTAGACTCTGTTTGGACGCTGCCTTTAAGATAAGGAAAGAGCATGAATTATTACCCTTTTCCGGGGCTTCGCCCCAAACCCCGTAAAAACGAAATCCCCTTTGCTTTTTCACCCAAAACGATTTCCAGCTGTCATTTGCCCACCTCGTGCCGGGCCCTGAGCGGAACTCAAGAAGTGAATTTTATAAAAGGTTGCAAGATTCAGCCCCTAAACCGATAATCAATATATAAATATATTACTTGCTCCATAGATCGTTCGATCAAAGAGAAGATGTTAGTAGCTTTCCGATTGCTCAAAGCATTACCCTAAAATCCCAAAGATAAGAGCGATTTAATTTACCGGTGAAAAATGAATTGGAATGAAATTGAAATTGATTGCAGTCACCCCTCTTACTTAAGAAGAAGTTTAACAGAAGCTCCGCCCCTCGACTCTAAACCCCGCCCACTTAATAAACAATTCATGTAGAAATTCCGAAATTCCGTCAAAATCGCTATTTTTCTATATGAATTGTTTATTAAGTGGGCGGGGTTTAGAGTTGAGGGGCGGAGCTTCTTCTAAACTTCTTGTCCGATTTTTATTTATCCATCAATCAAGTTAGAGGGGTGACTGCATTCAATTCCAATTTCATTCCAATTCATTTTTCACCGGTAAATTAAACCGCTCTCATCTATGGGATTTTGGGGTACTTTGCATTTGCTGTAAATGCACCTGCTTTTTGACAAACTATCATACTCACCCGCATTCTAGGTATATACTCAAAGGGATAAATGCCACAATGATCTCTTTGCTAAAGGTAAGAACTTTTCTACATTTCGTAAGTTTACGGTGGATGACGATGTTGAGAAATCCTAGTATTGAAAATATAGAGTTGTTTCGAGGGTTGTACCGTTTCTTTGTCATTGTTTTCTGATGTAACGCTAGTGCAGTAAGGTACCCAATATCACGAGTCAAGGCTTTTTGCTTCGTTTCATGTGTGCAGCCCGGCCGCATCCTGGCCCCTGAAGAACGATCACTCTACACAAAATTCGGCTTGAGTAAGACATGGCACAGAAGAGGGGGTTTTAACGGCTATCTCCTCAAGATTGGGTCCCAAAACTTTTGGAATTTTCTTACATAGGTTATGAAAATGTGCGAGTAACTTGCTTAATCTTGTAAACAATTAAAGTCACTTCCAATTTTTCTAAAAACCTAAATTAGCTTTGTAACCACGCCCCCTTTTTTTAGATTTTAGAGGTTATGGGTCCGAAAATTTTTGAGAAGCATCTCAAAAATATTTACGGAGCAGGAAAATAATGCTCATTGCACTTGTGAAACCATGGTACTCAAAAAGAAGCTGCGTTTGCTGTGCGAAACATACAGGAGCACAAAGAATATGTACACACTGTTTGACTGCCCTACTCTTGCCCTAGAACCTTTAGCGGGCCTATTATCGTCCCTGAGGCCTTCAACACAGATTACGGCGCGGAACATATTTTAAATCGCTCAGCGTCAGAGGGTTCAAGGGCCCGTTTGGCTTCGATCTTCAAGTAGCAACCAAACAGTGTATACGTAAAGCATTTTGAAACCATGTAAGCTCTACAAAATAAAATGGGTTTTAGGGGTTGAAAGAAGTCTGAAGGGCAAGAATTGCACGAAAAAAAGTATAATTTTTTGGAGAGCTTATGATGCACCGGTCTCGCTAGCATATCATATGTGAATATTGGCTATTCAATCATCCATCAAAAAAAACTCTTAGTCCATACAAAAGGGAGTAACGTAAGCGCTAATGATTAAGAATTTTACTTATGAAAAAAGACGAAAGGCTGAACATTTTTTTTCAAAAATGTGTAGTTTTTGTAGAACAAAATTGCTTTTTTGAATGCTAATCTATTTTGTCGCAAACCAAACGCTTGTCAAGAAAACAATGATAACAATATAAAAGGAATACATGGGAATTTAAATGTGTTTTGCTTATTGTTGGTTTGATTTCCACTGTTTTTACTACACGAGTACTCTGCTACAGATCGCCGTCGTCATAATCTATGTCCGCTTCAACACTGGAGTCAAAATTCACGTCCGCTTCATTATGGGAGATAATGGTTAGTTCTCAATAGTAGTTTAAATGCTAATGCTAGAACGCCCAACTTTCGGTTTAATTTAATGAAAGATGATGAAGAAATGAAAAGCAAGAATATAAGCTTTTCCTTTTTCAGTATGCTTAAGGCTTTTTTTATAAAAGAAGGAATGAAAATGTTACCTGTACATTAAACAAGACCAAAACAAACTCGAGTTGTAGCCGTTTTAATTAACGAACCTTGAGGGTAAACCTTACCTTTGAAAGCAAATTCTACCTCAGAAAGCATAGAACTGTATTCGCGAAGCACAAGGTACACTTAACATCAAAGATTAAACCTACCCTTGTGAGTTACCCGGCAAGCGACTAACCCATATTCATCAAAGACTCTGAGGTTTTAATCCTACCCTTGAGGACGTGACTCATCAGGATGTATTTGACCCTAGCATAGCGCAAGGTTAAATTTACCCTGACACATGGTACAAACATAAACTGATCTTCCAAGGCAACACTCAATCTTGACGGTACTGTTTTGACAACAAACATTACAACAAAACAACAGATTACTATTATCACAAGGGGATAATCCGAACTTAAGGTGGCGAACTGGAATGAACCGCATATCAATAGACGCGCCTTGATGAGCTGATTTTAAACTAACTTCCATATTTGCGATGCCGCTATTTGGAAAAAGTTATGAGCGGTCAAAAATGTGAAGTCATTGGGGTCAAAGCTGCGCCGCATTCCCCCTGGCGGCCATTTTCGTTTTGCCGCCTTTATGCAGCAGCAGGAAAAGAAGTAGCGCTGCTTCTGCCAGCGGATGGCAGATTGTAAGAATGCAGAAAGGAACTAAGAATTGATAGATGAATTTTAGAAGCAATTAAAGTCTGAAATTGTGATAAATCAACTGCTGAACTTAAGTTGATGTGTTCGAAAGGTTTAGAAGAGAGAATTAGTAAAGAAGAGGGACAGAAGTCTTCCGTCAATAACTCATCAAATCAAATCGTCTTCTTTTACCTTTTTTTGTGATTTGCTAAACAGACACTTCTTCTCCATATTCTATTTTTGATTCATTAAAATCCGTTTATCTCATTTGATCTCTTTATCTGTGGAGAATACGGAGAATGGCTCATTCCGCTGGGTAACTCGTGGATTGCAATCAGGTGCGACACAACGCAAAGGGCGCTCAGATATCTTGCAGGCGAATGCGACGTAGCTTTGCTCCATAATGCCACGCCGCCGATGAATACAGCCAATAAATCCTCTGTAAACCTCACCCTTAAGAGTAGGTTTTACCCTCAGGGTTTTGATGAATACGGCCGCTGATCTTATTATGTACTATGTGCGTACGATCTCACAAGGAAGAAATGGTTAGTCGGAGTAGCCTTTCTTGATGTAATGTGTATTATCTTGAAATGCACAAGAATGTGATTAGAATATCCTCATCTGCTGAGCGTTTCTGCGCGAGGCGTTATGAGCCTTTTATTGAAGCAGAAAAATTTAGTGTAATTAGGATAAAAGTATTCGTAAAATTTGCCTTATTGTTAGCGCTTGCAAAAAGCAGTGGTGATCACCAGAGTTTAGAAGATAAATAATCAATAAAATCATATTCATATTGAACAAAGCGATAAGTTGCATTTACAACTAAAGGATAAATCGAAAGATAACGTCAAGACATCGACGTCAAGACGTCGAGAAACATGCGTACAACCAAGATAGTAATGGCGCAGTCAAATTTGCAAATATTTCACTTGAATTTACTTCTCTGACCTCTGATCAGTAGATATCAATGCGAGGCAAAAGCTCGTATGATAAGCTTTGCATCATTTGCAATGTAGGAAAAAATTCTAACAAAAAACGGTGTTGTTTTCGCCTACATTCGTGTGAGGTAAACAGAAAATAGGCTAGTTTAGCTGGGTTTCAACACCTAGTAGTTGCAGGGCCTCATTTCGACTCGCGATAGAGATCCTGAAAGCTAGAACAAGATCGTAAACAGTTCGCGACATAAGAGGCATAATATCAGCAAAATAACGATAGAAAAAATTAGCATGATACATCGGCCTTGCACGAGATGACTTTATACTGAACAAATCATATTTCGACTTATACTAGATGGGCTCTAGGGCAAGGTGCGTCAAAGAGTAAAAAAAGTTTCACAAGTGGTTTCCAAGGATTCTTGTAAAAATCGGAGCTTTGTCTGAAAATTTAACGGATTCTCTATTTGCTTATGCAGATACAATCCACAACCGACATTCGTTTATGTCTTCGCGAATCGTTGATGATGGGGCTGCAGAGATAAAAATTCGAATAGGAGGTTAGGTCTGTAGTATAAAGCGAATTAGTTCTCTCTTCGTTAGTGTATGACTACGGTAGGAACTTTGATGAGGGTTTTGCTCATTGAGGGTCATAATTTACCCTCCAAAAAAACTAAAGGAGCTGAATACTTCCAGCCGGAGTTGATTTCAAATTTGAAACCCGTACTTCACCGTCACGCATTTAAGTTATACCAAATATACCGTAACATTCCATCTTATATATAAAGCTGAATGTCTGTTTGTATGTATGGCTGTATGTCTGTATGTCTGTATGATTGTCTGTATGTACGTATGTTCCGAATAGAAAATTCCATTTCTGAACCGATCTGAAGGTGCATGGCACTAGCCATGCACTCAGAAAATTTTTTTGGTATGCTCCCTAAAAGTTTCATGAGCTCAGAACTCCCAAATTTCAAAAAAGGGGGCATGGCGTCAGCCACGCCTCCGAAAAATTTTTTTATAAGGCTAAAATGAATTTTTAAAAATTTCAAAAAATCTTTTAATTATTTACAAGTACAAACAAGTCACTTGCGCGTTTTTATAACTTGTAAGTAACTTTCAAGAACTTCACGACCCGTTCTCGGGGGGTGGGGGCCTTCCCTCGGTACGCCACTGCGTAAAAGTTATTTCTGATATTTGTCAGAAATGATTAAACCATCTAGAAAGATTTATGAACGTGCAAAAAGTCATGAAGTGAAATCAGCTTGACTGAAAACCTTGTCACAAAATTTTTCAAACTAGTATTTTTTGGAGCTGCCCGCTCACCATTGGCGCCAAATGCTGCAATTTTCTACCGTAATCCTACAGTAATGAAAAGAATGGTGAATCTTTTTATACTGCAAATCTAAGTTAAAAAGAGGTATTAACAGTCAGACAGTAAGCACATTTTTTGGGACATCCTGCAGGATACATGCATTAGGTTGTCCCGAGAGTTTTGTCGGTTTCTTGGACCACTATAAGATTACGCACAATGAAGACCTAAACGAGCTTTAACATGCATTCGATGCAGCTTTTCCTTCTCTTTCTTACCGATACATTTTCGAATCACGATCTTGTATTTTTTTTGATAGTAGTTGAAATTCTTCACCCGTCATTTTTATCTTTTATCGAAGTTCGGCTAATTTTTGAAAACTTCATTCAAAAATTTCTGAAAGGCTTAAGCATGTTTTTCTTAAATAAATGATTATTACGGACGATAAAAGTGCCCCATTTAATCTAGAGTAGGTACAATGTAGCCAAAGGTTTGCTTTATATAACCGTTGCCAGCGCTCTGAAATAATAGGATAAAAAATTCTAAATATTCAGGAAAGGTTGGCATCACTGTTGAGATGCTCAAAATCGATGGTGATAGCATCGGAAACACAAGCAGGTCAGAAAGCAATTATAGCCGTAAGAAAGAGAACGAAAATCTGAATCAAAAGGTGGCTAGATCGTTTATAAATTGGTGTTCTTTAAAATTTAGTGAGCTATGAAAAAAACCGACAAAACTTTTGGGACAACCTAATATTTTCCAAAGTTCATTCCTTCTTATTTTTCGATCTGTAAGACAGGTGGAAGAAATATAGGCAAGCATTTCAAACACTATTCGATGCATCTTTTCTTCTTCTTTTTAGCAGTCATGTTTCCAATTAATTGCTTTTGTGTGCATCCAAATAATCGCCGAAATTTTTTACTCATGGTTTATAACGCGTACAAACTTGGCAATTTTATAGAATTCTCAATTTGAACTTCAAAATTTTTGATAATAGATGAACAAAGCAAACACAGTGCAATACACTGACTTTTTAGCGCTGGCAACTTGTTTTCCACTATCAAGATAATTTTCCAGTGACAGTGACAGCAGTGAAAGAGCATTGACATAAAACGAAAGCATCAAATACCAGCAAATTTTCAGATTTTGTGATTCCCATAAGTTGATTATTATTTAACAATCGACAGAAGGTTACTGCTTTAGAATATCAAATTTGAAAAAAACTAGTACAGCATATAATGAGTTCAAAAATCTACAATTAGACATTTCCGTCCACGAAATTTTTACGAATCGCAGGGGAAACCGTCTATCAAAAGGAGGAGGAAAAGCTGTATCGGTTAACACCTCCTGCGAGGTCTGGCACTACCGATATGGATTTTGTTCGCATCGAAAAAATGATTTGAAAAATTTTGTAAAGCTAGTCGGAGATGCCTGATTTATTATAGTGCACCTTGTTTACCCCCCAAACCCACTTGTCGAAGTTCTTGCAGAAACTCAAAGTGAAAAATCTGAAAATTGTTCAACGTGGGCAAACCAAGATGGATTCAGAATATTGGCGTCATTCTGATGAGCACGAACTAAGCTTGCATATATTACACATTTATTGGAAAGAGGATGAGATTTGCCCGCTTTTGTTGAAATTGTTTTATAAGAGGTTGGAAGAACGGAAAGAGCTTTCGAAATAGCTTAATAGTTGCTGATTTTTCTTTCGGTTAAAAGTCAAAAGTTCAAACTTTTCATAGTATTCCCAGAGCAATACTAAGCTGTTTTTAAACTAACAACACTTCAAGTCTTCAGAAGTAGAACCTAAATTTTTAGCCTTTGACAAAAAATTTTGAGATACATCGAATTTGATGAGAAAAGTAAAAGAAAAATTCAACAGCTGTGTATGCAAATCTAATAAAATGAATTAGTGTGCGGGTGAGATACGTAAAATGTTCCAGACGGGTTCCGGTTTCTTCCTCAATTTTTCGAACCTTCTCGCTATAGACTTTGGCTTCAAATTTTGGATGGATTAAACTTAATGCACAACTGCAACTGTGACTGTCATCTTGAGCTGATTGTTTGAAGGCACTTAGCAAAACTTATGTAAAGTAAGGTTCGTAATTATGCAAACCCGTTTTTTTTTTCAAAGTTTCGCAGTTTTTGAAGAAACTTGAAGACTCTCGATGATATTCAGAAGGGCATAGCGAAAACTATGCGCAGTGTCAACTTAGATACGAAAATTGAGAAGATACGAATTTTTAGCGGTGCATATTTATACGGACACCTTGAGCAAAGTCCCATAGCAGCCTTTCGGAACAAAATCATTCATGAAGTTACAGCAACAAAGCCTAAGATATTTGCTGAATACCGAACTTACAAGGAAGTGTCAGAATTGGCAGTGGCCTTTTGACTTGAGATAGGTATCACCTTGAAGCAACTGCGAATCCGTTGAGAGAGCGAGAAGTCACGTTGGTTTCAAAATGATGCAACAGAACTTTTGCATTAACCTAATAAAATTCAGTGATTAGTAAGTACATAACTCCCGTCTCAGACTTGTTATGCAGCTAAGGAAGGCTGTTTCGATAATATCGTTTCAAACGGCTTCAGTTGGTAGCTCCCATGTAAGGAGGCCAGCACTTTTGACGCTTCGCTTGTTAGTGCAGTTCGAATTGTTGAGCTGCTCGATAAACACTTTTGGACTCCGTTGCTCCAAAATCTTCTTTCTCCCAAGGTTTTGAACTCCCAGTCAACTTGTACTAAGGCTTTAGCTCTTATTGACAATCTTGGTATCGCTCAAAGGCCGAAAAAAAACCACTTATTGCATTTTTCATCTAAATTTTGACTCTACTTTAATTAGAATAAGGAGTCACACCTTTGATCCAAGACTCGCCTTCTGCTGTCTGCAAAGTCTTACGATGGAGCAGATAATGTGCAAAAATAAATTTGTGTATGGCTAAAATGTTTCACAAGCTGAGCATATGTTTGACCAAAACGAAAAGACTTTGTTTATCAATGCAATTATACTTTTTAGCTCAAAAGCCTCGAGATTACCCTTGCAAAAAGCCAAGAACTTCACACATGATCACATGCATTGCTTTAGCCTTATCGCAAAGCTTTGCGAAAGCAAAAGCTGAGTATTGATGCTTAACATCGTGCAAACTCTAGGGCATAGATGAAGCTGTTTTAAAAACTTAACGAAGTTCTTCATTGGCGACGAAAAAAACTTTTCAGGTCGTGGAGTATCTCGAATTTTACAATAGATGATTATGAAATTGACTGAACTTTGCAGAGCTTCTTCAGCACGCGACGAGCCATTTTCTACTTACTGGGGCATAATTCGTAGCTACAAATTTCAATTATGAAAAAAAGGCAGATTATTTGAAAAAGTGCGTTTTCTTGGCTAGAAAACATGTTTTAGTCCGTTATTTCTTGAAAATGAGGAAATTTCGAGGTAAGCTGCATACGAAGACAGAGCTTAAACGGCTTTAGATGTCATCTGCCAAAGGTGAGCCCATTCTATCACTTCTATAAGTGACCACGAGCAACGAATTATACAATCAAAATAAAAAAAAATAAAAAAAAATATATGAATAAAAAATAAAAAAATATGAAAAATATGTATACAAAACCAGCAGAGTTCAGTCTCTTGATTGTCCTTCCAAAAAAATTAACCTAAGGTAGTTCCCTGACAAGTTTTGTAACACGGTATCTTGTTGAAGCGGGCGACCTGAAGAACAGCTGTCAAGATTAGGAGCGTAGACGTGAGCACTAGTCTCATATAACAGCCTGTGCGATATACTCAATTTGACGTTTTGGCAGTTTAGTAGATTTATGATGACCAGTCTTTCGCACAGAGATTATGTGAAAAAGTCCTTGTTATCCTGTGTCTTTGCTGCTTCATATATGCAATGATGTCGCATCAATCAAGCCTACAGCTTATAAGGAAATCTTCCTTTTACTTTGAAACTTGCCAGCAATAAATGACTATGTATGCGCAAAAGCTCCAAATATTTTTGATAAGTACATGGCGGAAAAACTTTCGAACGCTCTAGCAGGAAAGACCTTTTAACATCTAAAAGAATGAAAGACTACGGTTTAAGAGTAGAGTGGGTACACTTTACTGATGTGCCAAAAATTTCAGAGGGGACATCACCATTCATACCGAAATCGTGCCAAAAGGATTCAAACTGTCCCATCCCGCTCATGTGCATTGAAAAGCTCTGCATATCCGGCTTTTATTGCAGAAGAGACGCCCACTGTGATCCGCGATTCGAATGCAAGAACTACAGGTGTGTTCCTATGCCCAAATGGAGGCCTAATAACAAACTGATAATGTGCGAAAACCATCCGTGCAGATCACCCACCATCTGCATAGACTTTTTCTGCCTGGCAAATGTGCATTGTAAAAGTGACCAAGACTGTGGCAGTTCAAGACTTAGGTGTGTACAATCAATTTGCACTGCTGATGAACACATCTCGCCTACACCACCTCCGCCTCCTCCACCAAAAATTTCAGAGGGGACATCACCATTCATGCCGAAATCGTGCCAAAAGAGTGACGACTGTCCCATGCCGCTCAAGTGCATTGATAAATTCTGCGTATCCGGCTTTTATTGCAGAAGAGAAGCCCACTGTGATCCGCGATTCGAATGCAAGAACTACAGGTGTGTTCCTATGCCCAAATGGAGGCCTAATAACAAACTGATAATGTGCGAAAACCATCCGTGCAAATCACCCACCGTTTGCATAGACTTTTTCTGCCTGGCAAATGTGCATTGTAAAAATGACCAAGACTGTGGCAGTCCAAGACTTAGATGTGTACAATCAATCTGCACTGCTGATAAACACACGCGTACACCACCTCCGCCTCCTCGAACAGAAAGACCATCTCCGCCTCCTCGAACAGAAAGACCTCCATCAGCACATGTTGGAATGCCTTGCCCAGATGGCGTTTGCCCTCCTCCGTATGCTTGCATCAGTAATGTCTGCTTACGCGGCCTGTTTTGCACAACTAACTATGAATGTAAGGATTTCCGATTTGAGTGCATTCAACGAAATTGTATACCCAAGCCTAAATGGAGGCCCGGCAACGTTGTGCTGATGTGTTTCGGTTCTTGTCAACCGCCAGCTGCGTGCATAAACGACTTCTGCGTCAATCTACACTGCAAGAATGATTATGAATGTGGTAGTTCGCAATACAAATGCAAAGAATCTGTCTGCGTTGTTGATGAGAAATTTTCGCTTACAGCATCTACGCAAAACCGACAGATGCCATATCCTTCATATGGAATACCACGCGGTGTGCCGTGCACAACTGCCGAGGAATGTAGCGACCCAAGATTCGAATGCATTCAGGGAAATTGTGTTCCCATGCTTCAATGGAGGCCGGGGGGTGGTTTGATGTTCTGTAAAATTTATAATTGCCCTTCATCAGCTTCATGCGTCAACTACTTTTGCGTAATCAATTTGCCTTGCAGTAGTGATTTTGACTGCGGCCTTCCAAATCTCGTATGCATACAGTCAATCTGTATGGTATTACCGCAGTGGAAAAGGCAAAACCCTTTTCTATTCGTGCAGACTGAGAATGTACGATGCACTAGCGATTTAGACTGTGGATATGAAGGCTTTAGATGCATCCAATCTTTGTGCATGCGAATTGATGTTACCGTTATGGAGTCTAGGTACCCCTCCATGACTCCAAGTTAGTTTATGTGTTTGCATCTTGTTCGTTGCTAAATGATTTCGGGCAAATAAATGGACTGATAACCTGCAGACATGCTCATTCCCACAAGCAAAGTTTGAAACTTTATGGAAGTTCTTATCATCCAGTAACAGTCTTCAGTTTGGTGAGAAAATTGCCAACCGGTGACTGCGGTTAGTTTTTCAGTTTCACAGCCTTTTGGCAATGTATACAAACTTCCAGAGACCTTAGGTTAAAATTCGGGTAGATATGGTACGACTGACATACCTGGATGCACATATATTGGTATTTGTATTAAATGCACTCAATATGTAAACAGAGATTTGTAAGCAAACTCGAAGAAGTGAACACTTCACATGCCCACACAATGGATGGAAGACATATCTGCACAAAACTTACAGCACTGGTCCACGGCCATGTTCCACTGGAAATACTCATCCTGTACTAAGTAAGCGGTCATGTGTAGCAGAGTAGTGCAGTATATCTCAAGCGTGATTGTCTAAGTAAGTACTAGTGTCCCACATCTCTAACGAAATACATGCAATATTACTTGAATAACCAGTCCATTTGCATCAAAACTGATTTTTGGAAGCATGCAGAAGTACTACTTTGTTGAAACGGATCATCCAAAAGAAACAATAAGTGTAGCGCAATTTTTCCATATTTTCATAGATTAGATTGATGCAAAAGTTCTGTCGAACCATTTTTCAAAAATAAAAAAATCCTGATCCTGTTCTTTCAGCGGATTTGCACAATCCAATTGCTAGATAGAGGAAAGCTTTCTTTTTTGATAATAAGTTGGCTCAAGTTCGGTCGCTTTTTGCGGCTCTTACAAATGCTACAGACGTATTTGTCACTTCGATATCTCTGGCTAGAGCACTTCTCTGGAATTGGAATATAATCTGTTTGCGTAAAATTTGTCTTGCAAAAAAAAGTCCGCAATGAATTAAGAAGCCCCAATTTTTAAGTGCGGAATTTGAGGATATTTTGTTTTTTTTCGATAAAAGATTTTCAGAGTGGCAGATTACAATTTTCATCGTTATTCACTAAGTAGGGGAAACTCCTCTGCATCCAAATAAACTGCTGTTTTCTGCATCCATTACAGCATAAAACGAAGCTTAGGAGTCAAAAGGACTGAGCTTTTGGAGATTTAGCCATGCTGAAAGCTTAACTTTCTTTACTGATAATGAAATCTTGATTATTCGAAAAGTGATGAGGAAGCTTTGAACTACTTTCACACAAAGAATCATGGATAGAAAACAACAAGAAAATTTTTTCACAAAGATTTACTTGTAACGAACTTATTTATAACCAACTTAGTAGTCGCTTAGCTGCTCTTTAATAAGGGCTAAAAATGGAAGTAGGAGAGTAAAATTACTTTGACTTTGGTCATTTTAAGTTAGGCTGCTAAAGATCTGGAACTTGCGGCAAAATTTTGAACAAGCTGTACAGTAAATCTTCTAAGAACATTTCTGTGAGAAATTATGATTTTCGAGAAAAAATTTCAAAAATCAAATTCGATGTTTTGTATTGCTTACCCAACAATCATAACTCTTCACAGAGATGCTCTTTGACACAAACTTTGCACTGTTGGAAAGTGTGGATCAAAATACTTACAATACTGCTTGCTGAGAATCTTATGTTTTGGTTTTAGGGTTCTAACTCAGAATGACCGATGTTTAGGTGATTTTATTCTCCTGCTTCCATCTCGAAAAGTTGCCCCTTGTTAGAGAGCGGCACCGGCACTATCACAAGGAAAGATGTAGTTTTATTTCATAGTTGTGGCAGCATACGTTTCGGCAAAGCCTCCAATAGTAGAGCTGCCTAAAGTGTCGAGCAGTCCTCATTTTCAGAAGTCCTGGCTTTACCGCTATTGCACAAATGATGGTGTGCGACCGTCTTCTCCGAATTTGCACTAACAAGGGAATGGTCAGAAGTCAAAGTAGCCAATCCATACAAGCTGCATATCATTCGATGCAGCGTTGAATGCTGATTTCAAATCTGTCTTCCATATCTGCAGAGCGCCTTTGTAGGCAAATTTATAAGCACCTTTACTGCGAAATTATCGCACACAAAAATTGCGAAATTAGGCACATTACTGCTCTTTCAGCTCGCTTCCAGGTACGGGTCATATGACTGACCTAGCTGCATGTTTTAATCCAACGCTGAGCCGGAAATGGCTTTGTACGGCTAAGTTTGAGCTTTATACGCACAATTTCTTAGCAAAATAATGGCTTTCAACGGCTTATAATTTCGTTCACAAAAGCGCTCTGCAGATAAGGAAGACAGATTTAGAGTCAGCGTCTTATGCTGCATCTAATGGTATGCAGCTTGTATGGATTGGTCACTTCGACTTCTGACCATTCCCTTGTAAGTTTCGGAGAAGGCGGTTGCACACCACCATGGATGCGGTAGCGGTAAAGCCACGGCCTCCGAAGAAGAGGATTGGCTGAAACCTCGTGTTGGCGCAACTAACAAACAAAATTCTATTATTCAAACACCGAAGTTTGAAGGAAAAAGAACAATTAGGATGTAAAGAAAGGAGTTTCTTCTATTTAACGAAATTGAGTTTGTGCAAAACCGTTGAGAGAGCAAGAAGTTATGGATACTTACTTACAAGAAGAGGATACTTAGCCGAAAGCACCAATCCGGATGGGACATACATCATCTTAAAGCGCTTGAAGTGCTGATTCAAATCTGCAATATCTAGCTGCGGAACGATTTTGTAGAAGGGATTATGAGGGTTGTTTTCTCTGGGGTTGAGGCGCCCTCCACTAGGTCTCCCCTACCTATGAGCACTGTAGAGGAGTATATCAGCTGGTGGCAACTGGCATAATGGTAAGTAACTTGAATGAAGATTATAATAAGGATTATAATATTTATTTATTTATTTCGATGCACCTAAAAGTGCTCTGCTAATACTACTATCTAGGAGCGGTTAGAAAAACAACAATGCAACAGCAAACCATATCGTTAGTAACAGAAACTGAAGCAAGAGAATTCACTTCCAGGCATAAGATGAAGCTAGCTAGATGCGTAACAGATCATGCCAATAGAGGATAAGTAACTGCAATAGATGTCAAATTACACAACGTCGTCAACTCCACATAGCTGCAGAATATCTACTTTCTTTAGCAATGCTTTCAGTTGAACTGCTGAGTTTACGGCTAAGAAAGACGGTGGCAACTTGTTCAATAAAGAAGCTGCTCGAAAAAGAAATTGTTGGACTGTAGCGAAATGTTGTACCTCCCAAACCTAGAAACAAACAGGTTAAGAGATGCCCTACGTTCACTGATAGGTCGAAAAACCCAGTATTTATTGGGCCTCAAACCTACCTCGGCTCGCAGTACTTTAAAAGCCATAAGAATGTCAGCCAAAAACCTTCTGTAGAAAAGCGTTCTGAGACCCAATTTACGAATCCTGGTTTTATAATTCGGCAAGGCGGATGGATATTCTGGATTGGGGAAGGCACGATAAAATACAATCTTTGTGAATGTTCTTTGGATTTTCTCGATCTTATCAATGTCTTTTTTCAATGTAGGATTCCATACAAAGCTGCAATATTCTACCACTGGCAGAACAAACGTTTTATAGACTCTCACTAGAAGTTCGGGGTCACAGGACTGAACAGTGCGCATTAAGGCATACAGTGTTCGAGTACCTCGAGATGAGATTTCATCTATGTGACTTGAATATTTCAACTTAGAATCCGTATAAACACCAAGATCTTTGATCAAAAATTTGCATTCAAGTTCAAAGTTATCTCTAGGATGAAACGGCGTTCTGCCAATGGGAACTGTGCAGCTCTTAGCGTAATTTACCTTGATATTCCATCTACTAGCCCAAAGCATCATTCGAGAGATTGCATTGCGGAGTGCTACATTAGCTCTATCCTTATCATGCTGGTCATAAGCGATATAAATTTTAGTATCATCAGCATACGCAGCTACTCTAATTCCCGGGTCTATGGTGAGAAAGCTAGGTAGGTCGACAGTATATATGACAAATAGAACTGGCGACAAGATACTGCCTTGCGGAACCCCTGATCTGCATAATCTTGCCGTAGAAATTTTATCAAGGATTTGAACAGAAAAAGTCCTGTCTTGAAGATAGGATTCGAACCACCTAAGCTGTAAGCCTCTAACTCCCAAACTCTCCAACTTGGCCAAAAGTAGGTTGTGATCTACTGTATCAAATGCTTTACTTAAGTCAAAATAGACTACATCTATCGATCGGTTTAAGCTTAACGCTTCTGTCCAATCGAATTGGACATCAAGAAGCTGTGTACCGGTAGATCGGCCTTGCAAAAATCCATGCTGCTGCTCCGGGAGACATTGCATTTTGTCTAACCATTTCAGCAAATTTTTTGCAATGATCTTTTCAAGTAGTTTGCACGGTGTAGGCAAAATGCTTATTGGTCTATAATCAGAAACTTTGGGGTTAGAGGTCTTAGGCAGCGGGGTGACCACAGCGGCTTTTCAAAGATGAGGAGCTTTTGCCATCATCAGGGAAACATTGAAAATGTGAGCTAAGGGGAAGGCCAATTCATTGGCGAACATCTTGTAAAAGATGGCTGGAACATCATCGGATGTTAGCGATACCGCTGGACTTACTTTCCTCAAAAGTTTTCTTATCATGCGGGGATCAATTTCTACTGGGGGACAAGACTCAAAAGATCTGCTTTCTAGTAATGGACATGAGGCAACAGGATCTGAGAAAACGCGTGAGAATTGATCTGCAAGAGCTTCAGCTTTAGAGGTGGAGGTATGGTAGATGTAACCATCACTGTCCTGTAAAGGACCAGTAAATCTGCTTCCTTTCAAGTGTTTATTGAGATACATCCAAAAGTTACGTCCACAAGCCCTATAAGCCATTCTTTTTTCCTTCTGTCTTAAAAAGCGTCTCAGCTGATACGAAAGCTCATTAGAAACAGTTTTATATTCAGTGTCACTCAAGGGATCTCGGAGGCCAAAGAATAATCTCATCCTTTTGAGAAACAGATTCTTTATGTGCTGTGGGTATCGTAAAAAGGGAGGATTTCTTCGTTTGAAGGGAACAAATCGAACAATCAAATCTTTGATTACATTCAGGAAACGGTCATGAAGATCGTCTATGTCATCATACCCATCGAAAACATTGAACCAGTCTATACTGTTAAAAAAGGCCTTGATGGATGCTTTATCTGCATTAGAGTAGTCACGTACAGACGAATATTCGGAAATATCGCTACGACCAGAGACAGATAAGACTACTTTGAAAGAGAGAATATTGTGATCAGCATTGCACAAGGGGGGAAGTATTTGAATCTTGGAAACCATCTCGCTTCTGGCAAAAATCAAATCCAAGATTGATGAACCTCTCGTGGGTTTTCTGACAAGTTGTGAGAGCCCCAGACACTCGAAGAATGAAACAAAACGGGCGGTGGAGAGTGACATTGTTCTCATCTCAGACCAATCAATGTCATTCAGATTAAAATCGCCAAGAAAAATAGTATTTCTGGCAGATGTTGCAAGATTTTCTAAAGTGTCAATAAGTTCTTCATCATGTGATGCTATTTGACCAGGTGGTCGATAAAGGAGTACAAATCTGACATAATCATCAGCATTGACAAGCAAATCGAAAACCAGTAGATTAGTCGGTACAGAATGTCTGTGTTCGATATTACGAAAGACGATATCATATCGAATCAAAACACATACTCCTCCACCTTTTTGTTCATGCGATCGCTACGTAAAACATTATATGGTAGATCAGCAAGAATTTCGGCATCAGTTATATTATGATTGAACCATGATTCTGTAACAAAAACTACTGCTGGTCTATGCAGGTGGACGAAATGTCGGAACTCAATAAATTTATTTAGTAAACTCCTAGCATTAAGTAAAAAACAAGAAATCGCGGAATCCTGGCACTCAATTAGTTTTTTTGATGTGATGCTTTTATGGAAGGAATGTCTGTGGCCCTCACCACCTGTCCTCTGTAGACCACGAACACTTTACCGCCACCAGGTTCTTTACTATTGAGATCACGCGCCTGCTGGCGGAGGGCCCGGTCGTGATCTCTCCCCTCGCGGGTCATCGACCTGCGGATGAATATCTGATCACAACCGGGCAACCTCCGCAGCAGGGGAGCCTTATTAAGGGCGTTATAATAAAACTGGTGAGATGAGAAGACACATTTGATCAACCTTGGCTTGGTGCCACCAGGTGTCCCCATTCGATAGACCTCAAGCGGTCTCGTCTCAATGTCCAGTTTGTCTAGAATAGACATAACTGAACTCTCAGTATGTCCCTGACGCTGAGAGGCAACAGCGTCCTCCAATTCAGGAACCCCTGAGATAACAATAGACCGAGACCGCTTTTCCTCCTCGATTAAGTCCTTGGTGGCAGGTTTGACCAACTGCATCAATCGATCGAGTAGCGGTAAGGCCTCCGGGGCCTTCCCTGCCAATATGGAATGAAGTTGTGAAAGTAACTTACCTTCATCATCCTTCTGCGAACTACTGAGAATATCAGAGGAAGGAATATTTGTCTCCGGAGTCGATGGATTAGCTTCTTTGCCTTTTCTGGACTGAGTTGATCGGCGTTGGGATACCATGATACAGAGCAATATCGAACACAACCGCTCAGCTCGCGTGCGTGAGACGAATATTCGTATTACTTTGATTTTTGCGGGAATAGGCGGGAACTGAAGACAAGGTCATTGAAAAATCGTCTATATTTTAAACTGTGCAGATTTGATACCAAAAGTCTGGATCTGTAAGATGGCAAGGATTGGGGGTAATTTGGATCAGTAAAACAACTGCAAAAGACGATTCTAGTAAATGCATTTTGGACCCTTCGAGAGAATTTATTTCTTTTTTCAAAAATGGATTCCACGCGGGCGAGACGTACTCCAAGTGTGGCAAAACATAGGTTTTATATAGTTTGACTAAAATCAAGGGATCATTACAATGCATACTCCACATGATGACCAAGAGGCTTGCAAAAGCTTTTTTGACAAATGATTCATAGTGATGGGAAAATCCCAGTCAATCGTCTATAAGAACTCCAAGATCCTGGGTGGTAATGCAACACCCAAGAGTTACACCATCACACGAGTAAGATAAAGGATGAGAAGTACCAAAATGCACAACTTTATTTGTAAGACATTTAGGGGAAGATCCCATTTTTTGGATCAGCTAACCATCTTTGAATGGGCGAAGAAATCGCTTCAAATGCTTCCTTTTGTTGATGGTTTTGATAACGGAAATACAATTTGATTCGTCACACACACACACACACACACACACACACACACACACACACACACACACACACACACACACACACACACACACACACACACACACACACACACACACACACACACACACACACACACACACACACACACACACACACACACACACACACACACACATACACATACACATACACACACACACACACACATACACATACATACACACACACACATACACACACACACACACATACACATACATACACACACACACACACACACACACACATACACATACACATACATACACACACACACACACACACGGTGTCCTCGGATTCAGAATTCATCCATTCTAAAGCGAGATATGACTAAATTGACGATCATTCCGGCGCACTGCGGCGAAGTGTGGCGCACTTTACCGCACTCTAGCAGACTGCGTCGCATTCTGGCGCAATGGGCGGAGTGTGGCGGAGTGCGCCGCAGTCCGGCGACTTTTTTGACGATTTATGAGCGGTATTGTACCTTAAATTCTCAACCTATCCCGAGTGGTGTAAAAATCAAATTTAGCTTCCTTCTTCTCAATTTTAGTGTCGACAATTCTCAAAATTACCGCTCCTAATAAGCCGAAAATTTGCAGTATTACTTACCTGGGCTTGGTAATATAGATTCATTTGCTCAGCATTGCTTTAAAAAACGAAAAAAATTTTTCGTTTTCTTAGTTTATATCAAATATAGCAAAACATGTAGAATAAAGGAGACTCTATTTCAAACGTTGCACGATGCAGTTTTTTATTAGCAACTATGAGTTGGTTATTGATGGCCACTGATACATTCGCCAAGAATAAACTTATGCCTTTTACGGCGCCCAAATTTTGATTTTTCTGAATTTTCAGCTGATTTCTGGACAAGCTTTAATAAGAAGTGGACAAAGTGAACAAGGTGTATCCGATTGTCTTTTTGTAATAAAACTTGTGTAAAAACAAAGTTCGGGCGAAATAAATGAGAGCAAGCACATGGAGACAACAGATTTTATTCGAAAACAGCAACAATAACAAAAAAATCAACAAATGGCGGCTGCTTCGCAATTAATAGGAAACAGAAACTTTGAGAATTTTCCTCTTTTTTTCTTTCCTCCATTCGTACTGCGATTGACGCGACAATTACACACTCCTAGAGTCAGCGTATATAATTTTGATTGGAGATCGTCGAAGCTCGACATTTTGATTATTTTCTCAAATAATTCTACCAAAAGACTTCGCATTGTCGAAGCAGGTGTCCGCGAGGCAGAAGTGGCAACAAACATTCATAACAGTTATCACTACGATGTTGACTGGTAGACTATATCAATAAACACTATGATTCAAGCGGTCAGGACCAATCACTTGTTTCAGCGAGTTAAAGCTCGAAATATATTAGGTTGATGCAGAAGTTCTGTCGCATCTTTTTATCAAAAAAGTATAACTTCTCCCTCACAAAGGTCGGCCGCCTCATCGTGGCGTGTGAATGTCACTGGGCGTCGAACTGCGATGCACAGCCGAGTTACTCTGGCAGGGCCTCCCAAGCTGTGAAGGAGTTCGACGTCTCCGGTTTCGGCCGGAAGCCTAGCTAAGAGCCGGCCAGGCCAGATCCCACCACCGTCTGGTTTTTTGGTCGCTAGCGGTTCTCCTCCCCCCTAGCAAAACATTAGCTTCCCCTGCGAGATGCCTTGGTTTTTAATTGAAGACGATGTGCCTGGTTGCGATGTTGAGAGTACAATACAGGCTGAATGTATGCATCTCATTTATGCACTTCCACAATCGTAATCATTGCGACAGAGCAGATTGATCACGCAGAAGTTGTGAACGCAGGTAGACGGTGGAGGGCAAAGATTATTTACGCACATCAGCAAACCGTTTTGTGTCCTAAATTGAGTTTTCGGAATGCAATTTTGCATTATGCATTGAACCGTTGATCGATGCAACCATTGTTAGTCACGCATTGTGCACCGCGTTCGCAAACACCACTAACGCAAACGAATTGTGGAGGGCAGGCACCATTTTGGCACGGTATTTATCCTGGTGCACCTTGACCATCCTGTGTTGTTATCCAAGATTGTTGGAGCGACATCTGTCCCGAGCTCACCGGAGGTTGTGGTCCAGACAGTAGAATACAGACTGCTTGTATGCATTTAAGATGAGGGCTGCCACACTCTTCGTGGTTATAACATTTTAAGTTGACTACGCAAAAGTTGCTTACACACGTTGCTGGTGAAATGCAAGAACCGTCTGTTTTACACGTCATCAACTTATCTGGCCTCCACCTGCGTTTGGGAACGCAAAATTGTCGATTACACTCAATCTTGAATCCTCGCAATCAGCGTTACTTTTGCAATACGTTCCTTGTGCGCAGACGTTGTCAATGCATACAAATGGTGGAGTGCAAGTAGTATCATTTTGGCACAGCGGCGATGACCTTGACCCTGAACCCTTAGCAAATAAGCTGAGGGGCGGTATGCAGTTCATAGAGTATCTATAAGAATTAGTAGCCTAATTTCACGCGTACAAGGCGCGGGGGATTTTTTTCTAAAATCCGTGGGCCCAAACACGCCACAACACTTTGCGACCAAAAAACCCTATACCGGGCTCCGTATTGCCTGAGAGATTTGAACGCTTTAAGGTTCGCTTTCCGGAACACATTAAAGCGGTTGAGCGGCTTGTTTGAAAAATCGAGAAAGCTGCGCCTTGTACGCGTGAAATTAGGGTATATGCGTTGAAGCAAAAATCGACTGTAACGCTAGAGCATATTAGCGGGGTTCGTTCAGTGAAGTGCTATGGTTAATTTTATTCTGACAGGCATTTATTAGGCAAGGTACTCAGAGGCGATACTAACCGTTAAAAAGTATCCAAATCTTCAAAGTATTCAGCGAGATAAGTTTACTCAAACTGCCCATCAGGGATTTCGAAGCTTTCATGCCAAGCTCAAAAATATGCTTCACATTAAGATATGAGTTGCAAGAGATATTTAGTTAGAAAGTTCATTTGAAAGAAGAAAATCGCTGTCAAAATTGTTTTGTTTACTTGAAATCTAATTCCACTAGCCCACTAGTCAGCAATTGGTATTTCATAATGCGAAGACAATGACAACCTCTTACGGATGTTAGCCGGAAGGAAAATCTTATGATAATCCCTTCTGTGGACCCAAAAAGCTTTGCGGTAAGTAGATGAAACTTGTCGTTTTTAGTAGGACTAAACTGTGAGTAACAGTAGTATTATGAAAGTTTTTTTAATATCTACTTCAAAAATTTTGTATATATTTCCGACAGTTAGCGCGCTAAAAACAAGCTTTTTCAACTTATGCATTTACCATCAATCTTCGCAAATAGGTTAACGGTTTAGGTAAGCGTGGCACAGGAGTCTTCTCGTAGAATCTGATAGCGAGACCACACAAAGGCTTTGTTCAAAGTTTACACAAGTGGAGATCATTTTCTCGGCTTGGATGAATTATCTGTGCTGAATGTAAAGGCTGCTGCATGACGAAGGTGCAGAATCGGTATTAAATGAGCGGGAGCCGACGCGGCGCGCGCGTATCCTCACCGTTGTAAATCCTGCGCTTCACGCGCTCTGCGGTTAATAAGGCCGCGATCGCAAAAGTATTGCGCCTTCGTCATGCAGCAGCGTTTACCAGCTTTCGTGTATAGGGAAAATTTCCCTTTCGGGCAAATGTCGCTTTAGCTATATGGTGAAATTTCACAACGGGTAAAATTTTGACCGAAGAAGTCCAAGCGAGTACAGAAGTAGCAAATGACATCAGATAACTTGACCGTGCTAGGCTTTTAAAGCTTCTTAATTTTAGGCTACTGAAAACATGGTGGAATTTTTGAAAGTTTTCATGCGCTTTGAAGTTCTGGCTAATTCGCGATGCGCGTCTGCGCTACTATTTCATACTATACCAAACAAAACTTTACTCATTCTTTACCTTACATACTTTTTGCTTTTCTGCAGGGCAGTCCCTATTTCTACAAAGCCTTTTACTATCGTTACCGCAAAAATTCACGTAACGCTAGTAAATCTGTTTTTTCGACAGGCAAAAAATGTGTACTTCACCCAGCCCTTCCTCCTCATGATAGTTTTTGGGATTCTCTCATCGGCTTACGAGATAATCGCTTTGAAAAACATTTTTGTACCATTTTTGTATTTATGAATTTATGAACTTACCAATATTCATCTGCCCAGTAGTCAAGCATTACATTACGCAGATCACAGTTAGGATGTAGGCCTGCAAAATAAAACTTAATCTGGTGCTATGATATTCTATTCGCCTAAAAGTTTGTTATTTATGAGTGGAAAGATGAAGAGAAAATTTCTTATCGCGAGCAAATCGAACATTGTCAAACTTTTTCGTTTTACCTAAATAGGCTTATGTGTTATAACTGTAGACTTAGTAAAGCAAGAACATCAGCGAAATTGCCAACCCCACATAGAAGTATCAGAATTCAAACGCCAAAAATTTTGTTTTTTTGACACTAAGCGTGCACTGGTGTTTCCTATAATACAAACCAAAGTTTGTCTGATGTACTATAAGAAACGACTCGTTACATAGTTCAGCTTTTATTTTTTTAGCGAAGAAACGCCTTCAGTTGAAAGCTTGAGCATGACTGCAAGGTTTTGGAAAAGGCTTCTGTAGATTTTTCGCATTGGTGAAATTTACGTAGCGAGCATGGCTGAACACCTGGAAGAGTTCTCCAGGTGTTCAGCCATTTCTATTCAGGAGGTTGCTAGATAAGAAATCGCTGAAACGAAAATGACGAAAGCGTAAGGACGGGGGTTTGTATTCAAACACATACTGCTCGTCGCGTTCGCTATGCGCATAACACTATGCAAAACCGTATTCCAAAATGTTTGGAGCAAAGAAATCTGACACTTATGCAGTATAATTGCGTTGATGTAGAAATAATCTCGCTGAAACACAATAAAATGCTTTCACGTCTATGAATTTGCAATTTTATGCATATGATGATGTGTAGTCTGTACTTTTTCAGAATAGGATTATCTACATATCGTGCACATTATTCCCATTTTCCAATTCATTCATAGACAGAGAAGATACTGTAGACATGAATAATTTTGAATGCATGTTTCTTCGACTACGTTTTGCTTTCTTAACGATCCCGCTAATCTCCAAGGTTGCCATGGAATACAATTTGACTTGTCAGATTGAAGTAGCTTTGTAAATTTTCGCAACTAAATCCGAAAATGAAATGTTATATACTTATATCAAAGCTTCTGATACCTCGTAAACACCACACAACTTTCCATGTGGCCCCTCAAAATGTCGATCAGTTCCCGCAGTTTTGAAATTTCGAAAAGAGAATTGATCCGCTGAGTACTAAGATAAGCTTTTGATGCTCAATTGCCTTATTTCAAATATATAGGCAGCAGCACGAATCTCAAATCCTCTTGGAACCAGAACCATTCCTGACCCATTAAACGTAATGGCAGCTCAAAAACAGCGCTTGACTTCCTTTTTTGCACTATCCAGACTTTTTCATGGTGCTGATTCCAAATATGGCAGATATGGTACTCAAAAAGCGTGACTCCGAAAAAACACCCTCTTGTTGCTATGCTGTAAGAACCCGGACGAGTGCTTCCAATGCTATCCTTGCCGAAAGCAAGTTCTAACATGTAAACGCATGTCTTCGATTGTGTTTGCCATATGAAAATACGTCAAAGGCTGAGGAGAGTCGGTAAGGAATATTCGGGTACACTTTATAGAAAACTCCAAAAAAGCAAAATGACAAAAATGCTATGACTTATTTTACCTACGTACCAGTGGCGGTCCCAGCATTCCCGTCCGGGACAGGAGGCCAAAAATTTTTTTCGTGTTATGTACGTGGTATTAGCCACGCACTCCGAGGATTTTTATGGGATGATTTCTAAACTTTTTGCGGGCCCATGACCCCATTATATTGTAATTCGATTTTCTAAATAAATTTTAAAAAACCATTTTAATTTTTTACAACTATAAACAAGCCACTTGCACATTTTTCATAACCCATAGTAACTTTCAAGAATTTCGAGACCCAGAAAATTAGGGTACATAGCAGTTGCGGTCCGAGGGAGGGGGCTGTAAGCACATAGCACCCGCCACTGCTATGTGCTTACAGCCTCCAGTGCTGAGTGAGTATACTCGTTTGTGTTGAGTACATCCAAGCCATGTGTTGCCGTAATTTTCAACTATAAATTAGATCAGTGCAAAGCAATACAACATGGAAGCTAATAAAATCGCGGTCACGACTATCAATTGACCCAAATATGCTAAATAGTCTCATGTGAAAAATATGAAAAAACTAGATTTCATCTTGCAGGGATTCCAGATGTAAAATCCATTACAGAATAGTTTGTCAATGTTGTCAACCCCAAAAAACTGCATAATTGTGCCTTTTATAAAGTTAGTTTACAAATCCTCCGAGTTTGCTACGTCTTCCACAAAAATTAAAGGCACCGTTCACAATAAGATATAGATCTTGAGCTTTTGGAAGCTAACAAAAGACCCCTATGAAGCCAGTACTCAAGTTGCGGCTCAAAATGTCACTTCGGAAACGAGAAAAGAGAGGCGGTGCTGTCTTGAGTCCTCATGCCTCTCCTAATAACGGAGAGGCATGAGGACTCAAGACAGCACCGCCTCCTCCAGTAATACCCGCCCATCCGTGCGCGCCCTCAATCATCTTCCAGACAACCGGCGTGGCCCGTTGTCTGGAAGATGATTGAGGTCGATCGCGTACACCAATCATATTTTCGTCTATTTGCGCTCATGAATGGTTAGCGCATAGTAATTGTGTAGTTCCAACTTAAAAAATAAAGAAATTTTTTTTTCTGCCAGTTTTATTTTACGATAATTTTAACATCCATTTCTTCAAATGTTTTATATCCTAACCCCATCAGAAGTAGACTATATGTCATTAGACTACAAAAAATTTACAATTTTTAATCTTATTTGTCAATGGCACTTCTAAGATAGTCTGGTCATGCCGAAAAGAAGTACATGGCTGTAACGTTAACTGCCCTTGAAATTTGCATGCCAACCTCGTGGTAAAGCTAGTTTCATACAATGTCCTTTGAATTCGCCAAACGCTTCTGCAGAAAATTAGGACGATCGCAAGAAGCTGGTTACAGAAGCTTAAGGCAAGACATGTTCAATATCATCACAAGTATGGGTTTCTTTTTCAACTCTAAAACGATAAGAGGCGCTCTTACCAAAAGTCGCTATTTTAACCTATTGAAAAGACATCAGTTTTGGGAGAAATATGCTTTGAGTTTGGTAATTGTTTTGTCTCATAACTGCTCATAAGCATCCCATTGAAGTCCATTTTGTTGCAGTTATGGTTGTAGGTTGTTTTTCACTCCATTTTGTTATAGTTTTACAAGAATGCACCAGCATCAATTCCATCAATTCAGCAGGCCTCACTAATTTGTAAAACAGTCGAGAACGCCTAGAACGACCATCGCTTCAGTGACCGCCAAAAGTTGCAGACAAACCCCTCTCCTTATTTCATCGCTCCTTTTCAGAGGGAAAACAAGGATGAAAAAATGTAATAATTGCATGAGGTGATAGAGCTTTTCAAGATATATAACCTACACTTTAAGCCTTTTGAAAAAACAGGTACTTTGAAAATTTCGAAAATCTTTTAAAAGAAGTCCGAAAATGGCAGCGTCACAATGTCGCGGACAATAATTCTTCGAACGCAAAAATTTTCTTTTGAGTCCTATTTTGAAGCGGAAGCGCAAGTAATCCGAACGGGTAAGCATACTACTATACAGAGCTTGTCAGGAACTACACACTGGCTATGCGTTGCTTCTCACAAAAACACAAGCTTGAGTTTTATTTTGCTTTTTTCAAAAGATAGTTTCTAATTCCTTTCAAGCCGAACTTCTTCACACGAAAACTTATTCAAGACATCTTAACAAAACCGTTTGGATAAAATGGATGCTCTTCGCCACTCTCTATGCACGTGTGCTGAAGATTTCTTTGCTGAAAACGGCTCTTGGCAATGTGTGCACATGACCCCACCTGCACCTCACCACTGACTTTACCGATTTGCAAGCTTGTAACTCGGCCAATGTGTGAGTGTCATCAATGTGTGAGCCTGCGGTTAGGCTCATTCGAAAGAAAGAGACTTTCTCTACACGATGTTATGCAAAAGAGCTGAGCAAGAGAAATAACGGAGATTTCGCGGATGGGGTGAAAAGCGCAGTTTCGGTGGTAAAAAAATTTTTCCAACCAAGGTTAAACAGAGCTCCTTTTGTCTTTCATCTCGGAAGCTCAGAACTGACAACTTTCTTGTAATGATTCAGTTTCGAGCCTCTAAGGCTGTTTCGGTGTCGATAAGAGCCTTCACTCCAATCATTACTGAGGCCGCGCTTTTTCACCCCATCTTTTGCCTACCCTCATGTAGAAGAAGTCTCGTCCTTTCAAATGAGCCTAATTGCAGGCTCATACATTGACTGCAGGCCGAGTTGCAAGTCTGCAAAGCGGTAGTCAGTGGTGATGTGCAGGTGGGGTCATGTGCACGCATTGCCAAGAGCCAATTTTAGCGAAGGAACTCATCAGCACACGCACGATGCATGAACGATGGCAAAGAGCATTCTTTCTATCCATATGGCTTTGTTGAGATGTCTTGAATAAGTTTTCGTGTGAGGAAATTTGGCTTGAAAAAACATGAATTATTAGGTTGTCAAGAAAATAATGTCGTTTTTTTTTCGGGTTTTTTCGGGTAAAATTGATATTACCCAAGAATTAGAACATATCCGAGGCCAAAATTTTATAGTTAAGGTTATGAAGCTTTACAGGGTACAATGGCATATGTGGGAGGGCTCAGTACTACTGGGGGCGGAGTTTGCCATTTTCCATTTTTCAATTTTTTCTTGGTTTTTAAGCATGGAAAAAATATACCAAGTGTAGCTAGGGATAAGTGGGTATGTCTTTTACATGCAGGAGCAAATGAGAGGTTCGCAGAATTTAAAAAAAAATCCATTTTTGGCATCACGAGTTGCTCATGTGTTTTAGCTTTGAAATTTGCATAAACAACAGCTTCTGCCAAAGTTCGGAGGTCGACTTATAGAGCTTCCTTTGCTCTATCGAATACACGGTGTCCCAAAAGTCCTTAAGCCTAACTTTTCAACGTAGTAACTTTGTTAGTATTCCTCGCTTTTCAGCCAAATTTTGCCTTTAAGTTCTTCGTCTAGTTGCCAATATTCGTCAAGAAAATCATACCGTTTA